AGGGACACCTTCCACTAGAGATGGAGTCATTGTCTTTGATTAGATCATAAGACCCAATTTTTTTCTTATGATTTTTCATAATTTCATTTATTCTGTTTGGTTTTGACTTGGATGTTGGGTTTGAATGGATTTTGGAAAACTATAATTCCATCACAGACAGTTCTCGAGATTCACTTACCAGTTGCTTGCTCCATTTTCTTTCCAAGCAGAGCCACTCTATTTGATAGAGGCTCTTAAGGCAGTGTTTAACATAGCAGAATGTATTGCATTTTCAGTGTTTAAAAGGGGCAAGAGTTGCTTTTGCAGAGGGTTCTTTTGCCTTGGCTGGATCATCAAGTGTTTTCTGGCCTTTTTAAGTCTCATGCTAGTTAATGCTTTGTGGTACATCAGTAACTTGTTGGTGTCGCCTCATATTTAGTGTGTCATTTGTGAATTTATTTGAAATTTTTGGTTGTTTTAGTTTTTTGTTAGGAAGGGATTAGGGCAGAAAAAAGAAACGTAGTGTGCATGAGTTGTTGGGGAAATTATGCAGCATAAACATTAAGAAAAGTAGATACAGAGAACGGTGTATTTGATTCAATAACAACAGAAAGTTTTTCCCAATAGTATCCTGAATCAGACAGTGGTAGTTTGGTAATCTGAAAGAGAAGTGGCAGAAAACTGTTTGCATTTCTTAACCCAGGAATGTGGTGCTCGATATAGGTGCTACGTGGATATGTGAAAAGAGGGAGGGGGTAATTCTTGCTGGACAGTTTCTTCCCAGAGCTGTTCTGAACGAGCTGTGATATAAAATTCTGTGCTTTGGAATGCTGCATGACCAAAACTAAGAAAAAAAACCATACTGTATGTTTTAATAAATCTTTGTTGCTACTTTTGAGATCGAGCAGGAACAGTAGTTTAAGCCTTGACAGTCCTCTTCCTGTGACAAAATTTGGAGGGCTGCAGGCTACAGCCCACGATTTGACTGCATGCTCCAGGGCTTTGTCACTACTGCCTTCCCTTAGCTTTGTGCTACCAGCGCTCCACTCAGCTCAAGTGTTGAAACAGGGAACCCACTCTGATCCTCTTCACATGCAGTGAGGGATGTGCTGAGGAACTAGGCTACCAGGCTGTCCCAGTTTCCCCTTTTTCTAGCTGTGCCACCCCCATAGCTGATGAATGAATGCAGTTGTAATATAGTGTATAATGTGTATTACACCATAATGGCCTCTAAAAGGTACGTAGGATACTCCTACCAGGATACTCCTGGTTTTTCTTCCACTTAATGCAAGGATGACAGACATCAGAAATAGGGAAAAACAGCCAAGGCTAAGGGAAAAGGAGAAAAAAAAGAGCGATACAAGGAGACTAAAAGGGCAGGAGATGGTAAAAAGGTGTTTCTCAGACAGCAGATTTCTTAAGGGAGAGTTTATCCTATTCTTAGGATAAACTGAGTTTTGTTGAATTCAATAATTGCTGTGGGAGCTTAATTGAGTTTCTTGTGACTTACAGCACAGATACTCCTTTCTATCCTTGATGGAAATGTCTCAGTAGAGTGTGAAAGATTTCTCAGGATATGTTTGCTTGGTAACACATACTTTGTGCCACACTTTAAAGACTATTAAGCAAAAGGGGTTTGTTTATACAGTAGAATATTTTTTCTGGGTTATGCCAGGGCTATTTCTTGAATGATTAATATTAAATATTGGAATGCAGAATACTAAGTGTTGTCAGAAGCAGAAAAACAGCACAATATATGTGAATTACTGTAATTTGTTCACTGGCTTCTAGTTCAGAAGTTTTCCAGAAAGTATCTCAAATCCATAGCCTGTTTCTTGAGTTAGTATTTGCAGTTGTATACAGGAACAACTCCTGGGAGGTTTCTTCCAAATAGGAAGTATCAGGGAGAATAAGAGGAGTAAATAAGCAGTACTTGTTATTATTATTATATGGCAGAGATTTGAATAAATAGTAATACACACAGCTGAAACCACAGATGGTTACCCAGGGGAACAGGATAAAGACTGAAATAGGTAAGACTAATGATATGTAGGATCCATGGGGTTTAGGGATTGATGAAATTAGTGATTTATTACAAATAAAAAATTTGTGAAGGAAGCAGTATATTGAGCCTGTGTGATCATAACAGAATGAGGCAGGAAAACTTCAGTGAAGGATTAAGATAGCGAAGTATCAGAGAAGATCAGCCAAAAAAAATAATAATAAAGAGGTAGGAGTAGAAAATGTATATTTTGTATGTTGGGTGCTATTTAGTACTACTAGTCATTTGTTTATCGAGTGCTTTGGAGGAATCAAGTGGTCTTTCGTTGTTGGTTTTTTTCCTTCCTCAATAGAGGAGGACAATAATCTTCATTAGCAGAAGCTTTAACAGCTTTTAAAGCTGTTTCAGTCACTCCTGTTTGTTACAAAGTGGGTTGAGCCTTTAAAATTTGAGCTACAGGAGTAGATAATTTCTCTGTTGCTACAATAACATGTTCCCAAGTTCTCGGACTCTAAAAGAGCGTCCAAGCAGTGCCTGCACACCTCTGAAAGGCCAGCCAGCAGCTCTCTCTATCTCTGTATCTACAACCCTGAAAGGGCCCAGGTATGGCTTGTAGCAGGTGTGACAAAACATGTCAGCAGTGTGTTAATGCAAGGATTTCAGAGGAAAAGGTTCCAGTTCTTCGAAATGGTGTATGTGTGGAGTTTCGCTCCCAGGCAGAAGGGTCCTCACATATCAGTAATGTTATATTTAGAAGGTGGAAAAATTTTTTCTAGTCCAAGTTGGAATATATTTATTCACAGAAAAGCATTGCCTAATTTTATGTCTTGCATAATAATATTTCATGCATAAAAATTTCATGTCTTTTCGTTAATCCATGCTACCTTAAATTCTGACACTTTTTGAGAGAGAACAATACCTGTGATCCTGTCTGAAATAGGAACCAGGCCTTAAGAGTCCTGTGTGGTTAAATTTATCAGATTTTTTATAATACTGACTTCATTTTTACATGGTAATGAACTTGCTGGTTATTTCTAGATGTACCCATACACGCTCAAAACCAGAAAAATAGTATTACTGTGCGTGTATATTATCACACTTTTTTTTGCTGTAATAACAGCAGCAAATTCTGATCTCTCACCTGTGTCTCAGCTGTCAAAACTTTCCACTTTTGCCATTTCCGTAATTCCTTCCTAAGTATGGAAATGCTGATGGATGAGTGACAGCTGTCAAAATTTACAATTCACTGTGTACAAAGGGAAGTAATGATAGAAAATGCTTATCAGAAGGAGGCATCGCTCAAAAACCTGGTCTTTCCTTCATCAAGAGAGAGTAATTTCTGCCAGGAAAGTGTTTGTGTGTGTCCCCCATCCCAAATTTTCTGGCAGCAGTTCCTTTATTTTGGAAGGCAGGATGATAGGATGGTGGGTTTATGTTGCCAGGAGTAAATGCTGACTAAAAGACATTTTCAGATGTTACATCATGGTTCTGGACTTCTTTTCTAAGGTGTTCCCTCTTTTGGCACTGGAATTTCACCCCATCAATCTTGATTTTTACAACCCAGAATAAAGGTAAAGCATCTTGGAAGATGAGGCAGCTATAAGAGTGTTTCACGCCTTACATGATAAAGCTGCAAATCATAGATACATTATGGAAAAAAAACCCAAACAGAAAAACAAACACCAGAAACAACAAACCACACTTGAGCATCTTTCTTTCTTGAGCACGTCTTATACTGTGACAAATTCTGTTCCTGGCAGCGAGCTCCAATTTGTGAGCTGCAAAAAGAAAACACTTGTGCTGGTGCAGGAGCACGGGTATGCTATAGCTGCCTCATGCTGATGTACCTAATGGTTTTTAATCCACAGTTTGCTAGGGGCTTTATAGAACGGAGCGAGCACGTTATACGGGCGTTAAGGCTGAGGGTGAGGATCGCAGAGGCAGCGCCAGAGCCTGCAAGAAACCATGGTGGGTCTCCTTTACCCTGCAGCCGCCCAGGCCCTGCGAGGCCGGGCGGGCAGAGCCGCCTCCGCCGGCGGCCCCGGGCCGGGAGAGCCGTGAGTAACCGCGGGGGAGGACGCGGGCGGCCCAGGGGGGATGTGGCACCCCAGGAGGAGAGATGAGGACGCCCCGGGAAGGGGGGGATGCCGCCCCGGCGCTTCCCGATGCCGTGACCCAGAAGTTTTGCCAGCCCGCTTCTGATCCTGCAGCTTCGTCGGGCGGGATGCGGTGGGGATGGGCTGCGGCCGCCGCAGCCCAGCAAAGGGCGGGATGGAGCTTAGCCCGAGCGGGGATGAGAAATGACCCATTTCACCCAATTACGCCGTCACGGGCCGCTGGAGCCGAGAGCGGCGGGCGGAGGCGGCGATCCATCGGTCCCGGGGCCCGAGGGGGCTGCTCCGCCCCGGGCAGGTGGAGGTGCCTGTGAGTTAGGTGTTAGAGAAATATGAAATTAAAAAAAAAAACAAAAACGGGCGCAGGGGCTGCTCGGAGGAGGGGGGACCGCTGGGCTGGGGGCGTCGCACCCCCGACATCTCTCCATGTCCCCCCTCCTCCCCAATCCCGGAGGAAAACCACACTCGTCGTCGTCCCCACCCCCGGAAAAAGGAGGGCACACCCCACCTTTGGAGCTCGCTGGGTTGGGGGTGCCGGCTCTGCCCTCTCGCCCCGCCCGTCCCCCTTCACCTGCCGCCGGCCCGTCCGCGGCGGGGGCAGCGGGGCGTGGGGCGGTGGGTGGCGGTGGAGGCGGCGTGTGACAGATGTCCTCCTCTGACAGCGCTCGGTACCAGCCCAGTGGCTCCCTGCCATTGGCTCAGTGCAGCCGACCGGCAAGGCTGCTCGCTATAATAGCACTATGCCTGCCAGCGGCGGCGGCAGCTCGCTCGGCTCCGCCGCGGCCGCCCCGCCGCGCATCCTCCTCCTCCTCCTCCCGCGGCCGCGCCGCGCCTGAGGGGCTGCACCCCCCGCCCCGCCGCCGGCCCCGGCAGCGCCGGCCCCGGCCCTCCCCGCCCGGCCCCGCCGAGCCCGGCCTGAGGAGGCGGCCCCGGCCCCATGGAGTGCTACTACATTGTCATCAGCTCCGCGCACCTCAGCAACGGGCACTTTCGCAACATCAAGGGAGTTTTCCGCGGCCCCCTCAGCAAGAACGGGAACAAAACTCTGGTAATGGCCTTCTTCCCTTGCCTCCCCCTTCCCTCCTCCTCCTCCTCCTGCTCACAGCGGCGGCTCGGGCTAGCGGGAGCCGGGGGCCGCCCGCCCCGGCTTTGCCGCCGCGGGGACGCGGTGCGCTGCGCTCCCGCCCGCCGCATCCCCGGGGCAGGTGCGGGGTGTCCCCGCAGAGCCGCCGGGGTGGGGCTGCCTGCGGAGGGAGAGCCCGGGCACCTTTCTGGGCGGGGAGCTGCAGGGCCGGGGCTCCGCAGCCCGGGGGAGGTCGGGGAGAGGCGGCCGCTGCTCGGCTGCGGGCATCCCTCGGCGGGGGGGCCCCATGCCGTGTCCCCCTCCGTGACTCCCCGCCGTGTCCCCCCGGTGCGGGGACAGCCGGAGGTCCTGCCCGGGGAAGTGCAGGAAGGACCCGAAACTTGTTTACTGCGTTGTCCGAGCCTTTTGGGTAGAGAGATGCGTTTGTTCGAGCACAGCTTCAGAAACGATACAGGTTTTTGTTTGTTGGCTGCCAAGTTTTTTTAAAAGCAAACCTCGGGGTTTGACAGGACTTGGTGGCTTTATGCAGTTTGGCTAGATTCTCCGGAAAGTGTGCACAGGCTGCTCGAACTGTTTCTGTATTCATCCTCCGTACTTAGATATCTTGACATCTCTTGGGTTTCCGATGGTTTTGCTGACTTGCTTGGACTCGCTTCATGCTGTTACTGAACTTTAATGGAAGAGTGACGACGCAATAGCATTGGCAATACATGTGCTCTCCTGCTTGCTCAGATAAAAGGGATGTAGGATAACAGCAGGCTGGGCGAGCTGCATCACGTAACATCTCAATCACGGCACAACAAAGTGTGGACAGATGTCTGGAGAGGAGGATGGAGCTGAAAGAGGGGCTTAGCCACATTGTTTCTCTCTCTCTCCCATCACTGCCTTACTCCGAAATCCCCTTTGGAGGAGATGGAGCAGAACTTACCACATCCTTGTTCCCTCGAATGCACGACCTATATTGATGGGGAATTTACTAAAGTACTTAACGTTTGCTAGAGTTGGCAAGCTTGCAGTTTCTCCCTAAATAAAGAGATTAAAGCAAGTCTGAGCCAAGTCATAAAAATAGTAACTACTACGAGAGAATCTGAGGCAGATTTTTGGACTGTTTCAAATGTGAATTCCTGCTTTCACATTGTGAATCTTTACGATTTTCCTTGCTGTGGATTCTGCATATTTTTTCTGTTAGAGATTGCATTCTTGGAATTTTAAACAAGTGTTGTAGTATCCATGAGATGGCAATATGTGTGTAATATTTTACTATTACAGTTGCAAACCCAAGACCTACTGTAGAAATATTTGGTACACTTCAAATAATTGCATGATACATCACCTTCTTTCCACTGAACAATCTCAGTAAAGATGCATTTGGCAGGACTGAGAATACTCTGATGTAACTTTTGGACTGTGTATTGTCTTGCAGTTCATAATGGGTTCTGCTCCAGCAGCATTTTATTATTTTTATTTTTTTATTTTCTTGTGGCCAAAAAAGCAGCCCTGTATTCTCAATATTCCTGATTGATTTATTTACTGGTGAAAACATTAGTGGCCAAAAAATTTATGTGTGGGCAGTGAGTAGTGTAACTGGCAAAGTTTCTGCTGAGTTAAAAAGGAAGATGTTGACTCTGTGGGCAGCAAAATGAAGTCCTTCACTACGAAGTAAATAGTATAGGTGCAGACATCAAGACTTTTATTTCTGTTTGGGCTATTTTTAATTTATAGGAGCTAAGGATACTGCTGGGTCGTGATAGAGGGTGATTGCATGGTTTAGAGTGATAGTTCTGAGGCACTGGAGTACAACTCAGTCACTTTCAATGGGAAGATCAGTTGTTTATTGTTTCAGAGGATCTGTCCCTTTCACTGCAAATAAACTTTCAGACTTGATGAAAATATTTATTAATACAAAGTAGAGTATGTTTTTAGAAGTTCCAGTAAGAACATGGACTTTTAATATTCTCTTGGTGTCTTCCATCCTAGGATAAGACTGGGAGAAACAGCAATTTGTGAAGCTAAAAATCAGAAATTTTGAGCTGCTCTAGCTCAGACATATTTTCCTATTTTGCTTTAAAGTATTTATTGCCTCTTCATCTGTGCTTCAAACTTTCTAAAATCATGGCTTCCTTGTAAACTGAGAACCTGAAAACAGCCTCTCCTTGTACAGGGCAGAATTGCTGCCGTGAAAAACTTATATTTGTTAAGCTTTGATTCTCTTTCAAGAGTTCTGCCATCACACTCTAGAAATGAAGATACGTGCTACAGTAGAATTTCACAGCAAGTAGGAAAGTGCTGGTTCTAGTCAAATGGTGAAGTTGTGCTTTCAAGATGATTTTATATGGTGTATCTTCAAACCTGGAGCTGATTAGGTTTCAAGGGAGGAAGCTCCTTGGACCTTTTGGCTACTGTCCCCTTCTGGAGTGACCTGCCGTTCACCTGAAACTCATCTTTTTCTGCCCTGCTCTTCAGGAGAGGTCACTGAAAAACATTTTCCCTGACTGATTGTCCCTGCAGGTGATCCTTATGTTTTTGTCCTCTCTCTGTGTCCTGTTTCACACAGAGTTAGTCATTTGAAGCTTTGTGAAGTTTTGCTTCAAAACTCCCAGAAGGTAACAGGAAAAAAGAGTTACAAACCTTTTCTCACCTGGTAGGGGACACGAAGAACAAAGCTTTGTCCTTCTATAAAAGTCTTTCTCAGTGGAGAACATCAGAGTGTTACTTTTTGGTAGATAAGATGGAATAACACTGTTTCTATTGCTTGGTTTCTAGGCATGGCCTTTCTCCAAGGCATAAATATCTGTAATGCCCACTGAGTGCGGGGCTTTGAGATGGGCTTATTTGGGCAGTGGAGAGAAGTGACTGAGGGATGAAGATGTGAAGTGAGGATGGGAAGGCCACAGTTCTGTTCCTCAAGGGAAGACATATTGGGAAAACCTGAGCTCAGAGAGAAGAGCACAAGAGGGAACAAAGGAAAGGCTGGATTTAGGTTAGCTGTGGAAACAGGTTACTGTAAAAATTTTTTAATTAAATAAAATGAGAAAAAAATGCCTGTGAATGAACCTTTAGTGAGATGGTGGTGGGAAATGAAGGAGTGTGTATTTACATATAGTTCTGTGTATCTGATAACCCACCTTTGCACAGTACCCAGTGTCTGTGCTCCCCCATTGGGGTAGGGCCCCCTTACCCAATTGTAATCTGCTGCTCCGTATCAGGAAGATAAATCTGAGCAATGAATTCATGGGAAATGGGCTTAGCACTTGTGGAAGAATAGCCTCAAAAACTCAAAGTTACTCCAGAAGATGTATAGTTAAAAGAAATTGGTGGTATTTGGGCTGGTGGATAAGACTTTGTCCTCTCCCACTGCAGTTTGTACTGTCTGAAATATCCCTCAGATATGCACAGTCTCACTGCAATAGTTAATCTGCTGTTGGAAGGCTCCGTGGCATTTCTTTGGAAGGGGCATTTTGTTGGTGTACCACCCAAGTGAAGCAACTGCTGTCTGGTCTTTGGGTGGCAGGTGTTTTTTGAACAAGAAAGTCAAAACTTACCCTGTGGGTCAGTACTGTGCAATGATGTTACAAATTTCTAGGGCCTTTTCTGCATTTTTATGTATGCCTTGGTGTTTTAATCAATTGATATTGGCCTGATTGGTTGGCCATTTCTTGTCAGGGTTCATACTTGGTGACTTTGAAGCTTTCCCCAAGGCAGTTCTTTTTAGCAGTAGCGTTTTATAAAAGTTTGTTTGCTACAAGCACTTTGTTTTGCCCATGGATCTCCTGAACTTTTAATGCACTTACTGTGTTATTTTTTTTTTTAGGCCTTATGCTATTGACGCCAAATTACAGTAGTCTTTCTTCATAATTCATCTTCCTTGCTGTGGCTGCTGTCTTGCAGTTTATAATCTCAAAAAGTATTGAAACTTGTGCGAAAAAATTGCTCTCTGGAGAGAGAAATCAGCTGTTTGGAGTTGCAACCGCAGGCGATTTTTCTAAATCCTTAAAATGTCTTTCAGGATATAAACCAAACCATTTGAAGGCATTATCCTGGTTAATCTTTGGTTGGTCAGCAAGAGAAGTGACTCTTTGTTTGGTCTTCTGAGTAGCTGGTGTAGGGCTCCTTCACTTCTTTTAATTGGACAAATACATTTTCTCTGTTGGTGATCTGAACAAGTAACGTGCTATTACTTGGCCAGGGAGGTTTAGACCTCTCTGTGTTGTAAATTGCTACTGTAATTCTAGTTTGAAGTGTCTCGTTGATACAGATCAAAAGTAGGTAAGATAAAAATTCCCTGGTAAGTGGTTGGTTAAAGGACCAAATGTGCCAAACACTGGAATCTATTACTGTGTCTAGCATACACCTACATGTATTTGTAGGTTTATACTTTGGTTAAAAATATGTACACAGGGCACTTCAGGGGTAGAATATATATATATATGTATATATATATGTGTATATATATGTGTATATATATATGTATATGTGTGTATATATATATGTATATGTGTGTGTGTATATATATATATATATAACTTCTTTTAGAAGTCCTAGGGCATGCTTCTACTATTATGAAAACTCCACAGAGTTGAAATATTGACATGCAAGTGTCTTCTGAATGTGCCATCTGTTGTTCAGGCTCTGTTGTCTTTAGCTCTTTTAAATTTTGTAGAATATTTTTGTCTTTCCACATCAACTAAAGTAAACACGTTGGGGTGGACATAAAAAAATGTATTTTATGAGAGTTCCCATTACAAATGTCAATACCCTACTGCAGGAAGAAAGCAGTAAACTACCTCTAAAACAGCTTTCCTGGTGAAGACTGCAGTTGCAATTCTGCACAATCAGGGTAAACATCCACTGATTTCAAGCCATCTAGTACATATATAAAATAAACAATATCTACCATAAGTTTATTTTAAATACTCACAAAAGCAGGTCCTGCAATTCTGTTTGCCTTATCATATATTGCCAGT